CCTTATAAGCGTTTTTCTCTTCTATTGTGTTCGGCTTACCGCACGTACACTTTAGACATGACAAAAAGGAAAGAGATTCTAGATGGGCCATCATCTGTATTTTCCGTTGGTTTTGAGTTCAAGCTCTTCGGAATATCTGGAACATGAACAAAATGCAGGTCAATAGTGGTAAATATTCACAATACCCCCACGCTCCAAATATAGAAATTTCGTATGATTAGATCCCATAGGAAAGGAGTTGCGATTAAAAAGTACGGCTGAAGAACCATTTCACCGAAGACTTTTGAGCGCTACTGTATGTGGGGCTCGCCGTTGATATGCCTCAAACCTAAACAAGCCCAGAATCACTCATGTTGGGTACCACTTATTTCACGAAAATTTTGGAGGTTAGTAAGAAAAAACGTGGTCTTGGACATGATGAACATTTTGATTAGAGGTTTGGGAGGTTCTCGTAAGCATATGGTTTTTGAATCTAATTGTAGCCTGCCACTGTAAAAGAGTTACTGATTCAGAGGTGGATCAGTGCTTATTACTACCTACTCAACTTTCCTGAAATATCAAGAGCACATATTACCGTGTGCATGGCATTATGTCATCCTGGACGAAGGACATAAAATACGCAACCCAACTGCTCAGGTTGTTTCATTTTCTTTTTCTTCTTCTTCTCTCTTGTTTGCTGTCTTTACTTATTGTTCCACCTTCAAGTTGTTAGAGATAATGCCCTTGTGTTATGTGGTGCACCTAGGCATTCCATTTTCATTTAAATATGAAGTAGTACTGTTTAAAATAAGGCAGGGCTTATTCACGGCTTATTTCCTGGAGCCGTTCTCGAATCGACGAACTTATTTGTAAACATGTACTCAGATTTCAGAGACGACAAGCGAAGGCGGTGTCGTTGTCTTTTTGAGGCTTGGTGCATGGGCAGGCCTCTTTACTCTTTTACTTAGGTGTTCAGTACGGTCTTCCTTATGATCTTACACTACTTGTTGAGAACGCCTCATATGAAAAAGAACGCGTTCGCGAACTTTATTCTTTCTCGCGTTTTGCTAAAATTGGCCTACTAGGAGAAGAAAGGCTGTATCTCATGTAAACACTGCTTTGTGACTCACTGGAGTAGTTTTCAGATAACAAAAGCTGTCAAGAAGTTTCATACACCGTGTCGCCTAATCCTCAGCGGTACACCGCTTCAAAATTCACTAACAGAGATATGGTAAGGTTTTAGAACTGTTTGATTTTGACTTTCTATTGTTACATCACGTGCAATCTTCAATCCTTCTTGTCAGGTCACTGATGGATTTTGTTTACTCTGGAAGATTGAACACGCTAGATACGTTCAATGAAAGATTTGCCATCCCGATTACGCAGGGCGGTTACGCAAACGCAACAAAACAACAGCTCCTCACTGCTTATAAATGCGCAGTTGTTCTCCGGTAAACATTTAATTGAATTTTTTGTTTTTTTCCCATTTTCTTTCCTATGCAAAGGGGTAAAATGTCGAACGTAAGATCTCAAAAGCGGCTTGTCATACTCTACTTTTACTACACTACTTTTTACAATGCGATACTTTGAAAGGCGTGTCACAAATTAGTGGAAGCGTAGAGTCGGACTGTCTAATGCCTCCATATCCTTTTGCAGTTATGCTTTCAACAGGTAAAATAGGTAATGCTCGTAGCAGTTGACGGCGCTCGTGTAATATCGCGACCTCTCTGAAGAAATCGCTGCTATTCAAAATTTTTTCGAAATTATGATAGTGATATAATAATATATGTAATATATATAATTATATTTCATTGATCACTTTTCAGCGACACAATTAGCCCATTTATACTGCGTCGCATGAAAAACCACGTGCAGAAGACACTCGTTTTACCTGACAAAAATGAGAAGGTTGGTTTTGTTTAGATTTTTCTCTAATTTCAACTTAGCTTTGAAGTGTTCTTCGGAATGACAGCGTTGAGTAAGACACTCGTATTGGCGTTTCTGCCTGAGACCTCATAGAATTAGGCAAACTAGCAATCCTATTAGGGCTTGAGCCTATTCCTGTTTGTTGGAGCGAAATTCGTATTTATGGATTGATAGCGATTGACAAGACATTTTCTAGGTACTGTTCTGTGAAATAACTGAAGACCAGCGACACCTATATCGGGAGTATTTGGCTTCTCGTGAGTGTGCAGATATTTTCAGAGGACGAGGTGATGCATTTGCGGGCTTGATTACTCTTCGAAAGCTATGCAATCATCCGGACCTTGTCAACGGTGGACCAAATCGACATCGTTAGTTTTTTATCTAATATACATTGCTAAGAAATTCTTGTTTCTTTCTTTTTCAAGATTGCATACCTTCAATGCACTCGTGATCCACCCATCATCTTTTTTTGGTCTTATGCATCGATAGAGGGTGATCTCCCACCAAGGGAGTCATTTTTTGTTGTTTTCGATGATGATGCTGTAAAGTAGTAAAAAAGTGGAGGATCTGCTCTGCAGAAATCGCGAAATATCGGGAGCTGAGTGCAAAAATGCAGTTGAGGTGGACCTAAGGGAAGTATGGTTTAGGTACAGCTCGGTCTTTTGACAGTCCATTGTCAATGCTCATTCGTGGAATCAATTTACCCTGACGCCCTGCCATTCGACTTCCATTAAAACAGTAGGGCGTGTTGTATGCGTCTGTTTCCTATACGGTGACTTGCTGTGGCCAGTCGACATACAAATGTGTGCTTTTATCTTCCAAGACGGGTTTCGTTCTTACGGGTTCAGACGTCTATTCTTCCCCGTCACGTTCGTTTCTTTTTTCCATGCCTCATGGCTCCTCCCCTCTCTCGAAGCTCTTTTCACCGTTTATAGATCCGCAGCGACCGCATTCTAAAATTATTTCCGATTCATCAAGAACTAATAACTTTTGATATAAAACTTTGCACAGTCGAATCACATTCCCTTTGGGTGTTGTTTCTACTAAGCATTCGTCCTCGTCGAAAACTCATTGTTCTATTCACAGATGAGTACGACGAAAAAGAAGATAAAACGAAAGCTTATGGATACTATCGCCGAAGCGGTAAAATGCGTGTTCTGGCAAAACTGTTGAAAATGTGGAACAAACAGGTTAGTGTAATGGCTCTAGGCAGATAGCTCAGCGAAGATTCTCTGCTAACAAAATTAAGTCTCCATTATAGCCTGGAGAAAAGGTGCTCATCTTCAGCCAGAGCCGCGAAATGCTTGATATTGTTGAACAAAAGTTGCAAAATGACAAGTGCGTTTGTGTAGCATAATCTTTTTACAGTTTTTTTTAAATGGTAAGGTATCATCTTGTAGATATACCTATATTCGCATGGATGGAAGTACTAGTATTGCTAGACGGATGAATCTAGTGCAGCAATTCAACCAAGTTTGTCCTCTTTAAAAGCCTAATTTTGAAATCGAGCGAAAACGGTACTTGTTTTTACTTTCAGGATCCAAGCGTTTTCGTTTTTTTGTTGTCTACAAGAGTCGGTGGATTGGGGATCAATTTGACAGCTGCGAATAAGGTTTGTTGCACCCGAAACGAGTTTGGAAACGTTCCGAGAAGCACATGGATAGAATCAAATTTTTTGCTGAAGACTGGAATTAAGTTCATTTAACATTTTTGAGGTGGTGATCTTTGATCCTGATTGGAATCCTTCCACCGATACACAAGCCAAGGAGAGAGCATATCGCATTGGACAGGAGCGAGCTGTAACGATATACAGGCTAATGCTAGCTGGCACCATAGAAGAAAAAATTTATCATCGGTAATTTCCCCTGCAGAATTCCGTTTCCTGTTCTCAACTCAATAGCTCTTCTGTTACCCTCGAGTTTCAGGCAAATTTTCAAGGAATTTCTCGCAAACCGTATTTTGAAGAATCCGAAGCAACGTCAATTCTTCAAAACTAATGATCTCCATGATTTGTTCTCGCTCTCGGAAGTTAGCGTGAGTTGTAGCAGTTATTCTCATCTCAAATCGTCAACACATCAACGGGAAGCTTCGATGTTCAGAAAAGTTGTCCGACCGAAACTGGTGCTCTCTTTGCTGGAGAAACTGACGAAATTCGAAAAGAAAACTTTTTTGATTCTCGAGATCGAGAGTGAGTTGTTGACTTTATTATAGGTTGCAGTTAACTAATTCCCTATTTAGAGTAAACCATTGCAGGGAAGATCGAATTAAGAAATCGAGCAAAAGGAAACATTTGTCCAAGAAGGAGGAACCTGACGACGAAAATGCCCCAGTGGTCGAACTAAGCGAAGACAAGAGAGCTGAGCTTCGAGCACGGGCGAGGCTCATGGCAAGGTATAGACTACTTCACTAATGATTTTGGTTATTTTAGAGCTCCCGATGCCTCAGAATTAAACTACAGTAGCGCTCAAAAGTCTTCGGTGAAATGCTTCGACGCTTTTTCGTTCATAGCTTTCTTCTTAGTAGACCAAATCGCGCAAATTTTGGATATGTTTAACTAGAGCATATTTCACCTTACCCAACACTATTTGACTGCGAAGCTGCAATATCCACAGTTAAAGCAGGTTTGCGGTAGCAGATTTTGCTGAAAGTAAAGTTGTTGACATCTGCACTTATTTGCACCTTATGTACGTTTTCCTCATCTATTGTGTTCGGCGTTACCGCTCGTATACTTTAGACATGACAAAAAGGAAAGAGTTTTTAGAAGGACCATCATCTGTATTTTCAGTCGATTTTGAGTTCATGCTCTTTGTAATATTTGGAACATGATCAGATTGCAAGGTAATAGTGGTAAATATTCACAAAACATCCGCGCTCTAAATATAGAAATTTCGCCTGATTACATCAAGTAGGAAAGGAGTTCCGACTGGAAAGTAGGGCTGAAGAACCATTTCACCGAAGACTTTTTAGCGCTACTGTATATAATAAAAAGGTAACGCTCTGTTATAGTTCCTTACAATTTTCTCGCACTGCTCCCTTGGGTTTACTCATGATATCGTCACTTTAACTTTTCGAGTAGATCGAAATCTTGATCGCTTTCTCCGCAGCATCCTACATTTTTTAAGTTATTTTAGCGAGTTTTTCACCGCAGGTTCCAATTGAGTTACTTTCGTTTTCATCAGATTGTGATCAAGTTCAATAGTATTTTATTTATGGTTTTCATTCAGTTTTTTTTTCAGAAAATTGAGTCACCTTCAAAAAGATGGACTTACAAAATCGGTATCGATGGATCGGAAATCACCTGGAAATGACGTTTCGGGTGATGTGTCAGGTACTGCCACACCTGCGGAAGAGGTTATACCACAAACTAGTAGTGATCACGCTACTACGTCCTCGAGAGAACACCCAACTGAGTCCTGCGATATCGCGAAGCTCGATCAACATCAAGAAGAGCGAATGGGACGCTTTGAGCATGAAAAGGAAGGTTGTTCGGCTGAATTTCGAAACATCTCTGTGAGCGGCAAAATAGGCACTGTTCATAAAGAAGACGGAGAAATATTAGATGATATTCCTGGGACCAGCGACCCGAACAGAGAAGCAGTAATCTCCGAGATTAGAAAAGAAGAAGATATGGCTGAAGTTACAGATTCGTACCATCATCGAAAAAAATCGAAGAAAAAGAAACGCAAACTTTGGAGAGAAGAGCGCTTTAAATCTGGACGGAGGGAACCGTTGTCAGAGTCTAGCATGAACCCGTCAAAGTCTTTATCTATGAACTCAATCGTTGAGAAAGAAGACGACAGCTACGTGCTCGGGTGTCTTTTAAAATCGGCTGGCGTTCGTTGTGCCCTCGATCATGATGATCTGGTCGGTGAAAAATCTTCTGATTACCTCACAAGTTATGAAGCGGATGCTGTTGCAACTCGGGCAGCTAAATCCATTCGTAGACGGTAAGTGTGATTCTGTTTTAAGTAATGTTGGGAAGGATATCAGTATAATAGATTGTCCGTGAAATAAGCGGTAGATTTGGTTCTGACACGAAGAAACTATCGTAGAGACTCTATTATACAGAAGGGATGGATGTAAGTCACGTAGCAGGTGCTAATCCCAGTGGGTGGTGTGAATGTCAGTTTTGAATGTCTCCGGTCTACCGGGTGGGACTACCGCTTGGAGTATTCAGAGAGTAGTCTTCAGCGAGTTTGGAGAACCAAGGTGTTTTGACACCGGTATGTGAACGGGGGTCGGAAGCTTCCCAGCTTAACATATGCCATCTTTATGTAAAATGGTCCGAATACTGCTAGAAAGTTTCCTAATACTTCACATCTTCTATAAACAAAAAGGGAGTAGTTCTTTATCCGAGAACTTAACAAATCAGAATGATGCTAGAGTTTTCCAGAACAAATATATCGTTTGTGAATAAATTCCGCTCGAAATTTCAAAATCCATTGGCTAAAGAACGCTCGTCGCTGGGACTGGAAGAGAAAAAGCATTTCCAAGGCGAAACATCAGGCGACAATCTGTTGGCTGCAATTCATAGCAGGAAACAAGCCTCCAATGACCCAGGAACTTCATCGGTGAGAGGTTTTCCCAAAACGAAAAGAAGATTCTGAGAAATCCGACGATTTGTCATGTTCACCTGAGAGCCTTTGTGAACTGGCCTCTCGCTGTTTCGGGTGACATCAGAGTGATTCTTTTCAATTTAGGCAATACAAGTCAAAGACAAAAATGTAGCTCTTACTCAACGAATTCGAGATTATATGGTGAAATGTGGTGGCAAAGTATTCAGTGATGTAGTTTATCGGAAATTCAAGGTTTGTTGTCAGCAATGATATCTTGATTGCTAAAAATCTTGTGAAGCTGTACCTATAGTTGTTAGGTTTATTCACTACTTGAGTTTCAGAAGGAAGCTAAAGAAGATTGGATACAGTTCCGTGCCATACTTTCGGAACTTTGCCATTACGATAGGCTGAAGATGGAGTGGCATCTCAAAAATGATTACTGGTGATGTCCAGTTATTACTCAGTTCTGCTGGTGGCTGCTTTTAACAGAATTATCTCTACATTTTTAACTTCCGCCTACGGCTTTCTATTAACCTCGGTATAACTGCTGTATTGTTGACCTGTTTTCTAGAACTCTTTACAAAGTCTTTACCAGGATGACGTTTCGGCGGGATCGCCCGTGACTTTTGAGACTGCAAGGCACGCATATGGTTCGTGGCCCTCCTTTGAATATTGTGCGTGCCCTAAGGGTGTTGACCTTCAGCGGGGCAGTGAAGATGTTGGATGGGATACTCACAAATTGTCATGATCTTTTCAGAAGGCGAATCGGCTGAAACGTCAGCCCTATACAGCTAATATACAAACCTTATGAAAAGTTTCAGAAAATAACTCGATGATACATTTTAATCTTCTGAATAATAAGTAACTAATAAAAACTGGTCGTGTATGTAATCATACCGTTTGTTTTAGCTCGTGTTTTATTCACATTGGTGGTTTGTTTTACTCGATTCATCGCAATGAGACTACTTTTTCACTACAGACTGGGAGTAACAAGATCTAGAAAAGTAATGCTTCTTTTCTCGAGAATTCACTGGAAAAGTAGCCTCACTGTAATAATACAATTCACTCAGTTGCAGTGCATTGAAATATTGTAAAAAATAAATGTATAGTAGGTTTTATACTGATCAAAAATATCCCGGTTGGAATTGAATAAATTGTTAGAACGAGCTTGTCTGTTTGCGAGTACCAATCGAGTATGCTAAGAATAACCGGAGGGATGGCAATTCTTCTTCAACCAATTGCTATTTTCCAGATAAATGAAGAGAGTTATCTAAATGAAGAGAGTCGGATATTTGTCAAGTTAGGTGTTTACAAACACCGGTAAAGGTACAGTTCACGATGAAAATGATTACTGTTTCTCCCTGAGAGACTTCCGCATAGCATAAGGGACGCTGTCAGGTTCGAAGACGGCAATAGACAGAGCGTACTAAACGCCCAAAGCCGGCTTCTGACTTTCACACCCAAAGGCAGAAGAGTTCCCGCGGGGTTGTGGATGCTGAACAGATGCAACACTCGCACGTTGCACTCAAGCAGCTTGCTGTAGCCAGCTGTACACAATGGCTGACACATTTGGACAGCTCGTCCAAATACCCGTTATGCAACTCTTTGCCACCTTCGCACTGCTCTGGGCTATCACTTCCATTAAGCGTCTAAAACAAGTTGCCTCAAATTTGTTATTGTCTGTGGCTCCAAGCTGTTGTACTAGTAAAACTTAGGATTTTCCATGAAGCTCTGAATGGATATCTAGGCAAATCGATAGAGCCAAAAAAATAACGAGACCAAAATTGTTCACTGTATCTCCTGAGTAGTCTACGATTTGCTGGATATGTTGGCTAAGACAATAACAAACCTTGTTAAAGTCAAATAAGGCTGGCTTCATAGCAAACAACAGTTATACAACTAATTGTAAGCAGCTGTATGGGCTACTTGCCCGATGAAATGATGCACCGACCCAGCTCGCGCTCCAAAGCAGAAGTGCGCTCTATGCGCAGCTCAGAATTCGAAGTCCTTTAAAAATTGCCTCATGCTTATTCCTTCGCTTTTGTGAAAGTGTTCTTGTTATTTCTTGGTCGTGTGAAATTCTACTATACTGTGGGTCCAAGTTGTTTGTAGACAAATTGGTGTTTTTCGAACTTCTCTAGAAGTGTCTCTCCCGTGTAAGATAGTTACTAGGNGCAGCTCAGAATTCGAAGTCCTTTAAAAATTGCCTCGTGCTTATTCCTTCGCTTTTGTGAAAGTGTTCTTTTTATTTCTTGGTCGTGTGAAATTCTACTATATTGTGGGTCCAAGTTGTTTGTAAACAAATTGGTGTTTTTCGAACTTCTCTAGAAGTGTCTCTCCCGTGTAAGATAGTTACTAGGACAATGTTAGAGTAAATCAAGAAATCCTAGAGCCATCCTCCTTCACTCTATTTCCCACCGATATTTACAGTTGTATGGTGAGGAATCTAAAAGGAACTCGCTACTATACATGAATAGTATACCAACATTCAGTTTTCGATCCACTTTTAGTTCGATATTTTTTGTTCTGCGTTCGAACACAACGTCGGTTTTTTTTCGAGCTTTTTGTCAGCGAATTGATTCATTGATGCAGTGACATTTGATCGCACCAGAATTAATTGAAGGGTTAACAATGTCGTGGTTTGGTTGGGGAAGTTCTGACAACAAGATTGAGACTCCGAGTACGCCCATGGATCTAAGCGGTGGTGGCGGCGGAGTGTCTTTCGACATTACTGATAATGCAACCAGTCAGGTCAGTGCTTTTCTCTGATAATCCAGTTCGATAGCGTTTTTAAAGTGAAGTGTACGTTCTTAAATTTTCAATATATAATAGCTTTATTACTCCTGTCAGCGGGATAAGAACTGTAATAGGGCCATGGGTGAAAATGTAGTGAGGAGGACGAGGGTGGCCGCGATTATAAAGCATTGAACGCTACAGAGAATGAGAAATAGGTGAGCTAGCAACACTACCATGGTAACTCATTAACTTTTCACCTTCGGCCTTTTAAAAAAACAACAGTAAACAGTGTAAAAGGAAGGGGAAGTGGCATTTTTCATGGTTGCCTTATGCCCCTTGCAGCTGAACACTTCCACTTCAGACATCTGCTCCAGTCGACACCTCTCCGTTCTCAACCCCTGTGCTTGCTCTTGATCAAATCAAAAGTGCTGGCGTTCCAGTCACCAGACAGATGACTCCCTACTTGCAGGTTCGTCCTTTGTATATGCATACATTTGAATACTTCTTTGGTAGTGAAAAGTCCTTTCACATGAACTTAAGTGTAGTTGTGATTTCTGATTTCTATTAGATGGATCCTTCGATGTTCATCTCATCACAACCGCAATACATCATGCCTGATGGTGGTACTGGCTCTTCAGGCAAGGGAAAATTCGAGTTTGCACTCGGACACATTGGGTGGGCCGTGGGTTGTGGATTTGCCGTGGGCTCCATAAGAGGAGGCCTTGGAGAACTGATGAATCCAGAAACAAGGAAACTGGTAAGTTGGGTTATGCTGTTCTGTTCCTTTTTTTGCTGGGAACGTTTTTTATCGTTAAGATACTCTAGGTAGGGAAACCATGGATGACTCGTATGGTTAATGCCACAGTCAAGCACGGGTCAGGTTATGCTCAGCCAGCAGGTAAAAGAATTCTATTTGTGTAGAAATCCTTTTGTATAGGCTGTAAAATAACTGCTGAACAACCAAAAACTTGCTCAATTGTTTCCTCATACTCAGTAAGTTCGGTCTTTTGGCCTTTTTTTGGAACCACAGGCTGGCTCAGACGGGCCTAAAAAACATCAGCTTGTGAACTACTAAATTTGTCGCTATAAAGATCACTTTAGGTGCTGTGGTTTTCATGTATTCCGCGTTAGAAATAGCCCTCCGTTCCGTGAGAGCAGAAGATGAACTGAATGGTCTCGGCGCTGGCGCACTCACTGGAGCCATTTACCGCAGTCCTCATGGGTTAAGAGCGAGTGGTATTGGTGAGTCGATTCCATATGTTTACCATGTGGTTACTGCGTTTACAAGATATTGCGTTTCGTCTGTTTCTTGTACCGTCCTCTCTCGTTCTTTTTAGAAGAAGCTTTTTGTTTGTGTTACACAATTTGTAGAAAACCCTTGTTGAAACAGTTTTTCTTGCAGGGGCTCTCGTCGGACTAGCATTAGCAGCAGCCTGGACAATAGCGAATCCAGATAGCCGGCAACGAATTTCCGAAATATTTGCTTGATTTGTTATCAGAATTCTTCATTATCCGTTCTTAATGTCATGCATCTTGATTTCATATTTTACTCCTAATCTGGTCTTGTTTGACTACCTAATTAGATTTTAGAGTCATAGCAGGCATATATTGATGATTCATAGAATTTCTTAGAGAATAGCTAGATTTAGTGATTGTTACTTGTTGTACCAGCTGGTATTGTTCATGTTAGGGACTAAAGAAATGAAGAGATCTGATTCTTTTTGCATGTATCACTGCTTTTGTTTACAAGCTTTAATTGGCATACATCATACTGTGTTGTAAACGAGAAAAGAGAGTGAAGGGGAGCAGGTCGAAGGACTTGAGGCTTGAAATATCGTGCTCCATTGGTAGTAGGTGTAATATTCCAACTATTTGCTTCTCCTTTATTTTATCCACATGTATACATGTCTAAGGAACGACACTGACAAGAAGAGCGTATATATACTATCTTTCGCACTTTGCTGTTCCTGTAATGTGCGTCATGATCCTATCCTTGCTTTATTCCATGAAGTCGGATGGAACAAGCTTATTCGGGGTAGCTTCCAACTTTGTTGGAACTTAGAGCTGTTGAATGAAGCCAGTGAGAAGTGTACATCCGATGGCAGTATTATCGCCAGTTTTAGCTGGACGATGAATGATTTTGCCACGTCACCAACATTTATGAGTAAACTCTTCGAACTCAATCATGGACAGCACTTCAAAGCAAAGAGGCCAAACCAAAAACCCCACCACATACAATCTTCCAACGGGTTTCAAGCATTGTTAGTGGTAGCAGGGCTTAGAAAGAGACGCAAGAGGTGACCAGTTGGTACACCGAAAAGAACTTACATCGTTCTATACTAGCCGCCATCCAGAGTTGAAGAGCGTATCGCAAACTTTGATGGGCTCTGTGAGAGACGAGAAAGAACCTTGACGAAGGTCTTGACATCACTCGCTGAACAGTATCGAGTGTAGACTGCAATATTGCTCTTCAAAATAACTAGGAGAGCCCTAGGACACTAGCCCTAGACATATGCCCTAAGAAATCGATTTTTTTCATTGTATTAGCCACTTGATTACATTTACTTTGTATCAATAGCTAGTGCAAGTGAGATAACGATTATACCAGTTTGACAGAGGTATCACTTCAGTTTATGGTGAATCGACCCTGTCGTTGCCGTGAGAGCATGTCATGTGGCTCCAAAAAAAAGTGTGCTCGAATAAAGTACATTGAGCACGGAGCATGCGTCCTTTAAGAAACGGCTGACTCCTGGGAGCACCAAGTTCATTTCCTTTAGTCATCGTTCATGCCATTGTTCATGCTCCTTATCCATCTCGAAAACAATACCGATCAATCGATAGCCTCCAGTTTTTTCTTGTAATTCTTTCTGGCCATACTTTGGCCTATTTTTGGTTAATTTTCTCATTTTTTACGCTTATTTCCTTTCTTTTATTTCGAGCTGAAGTATTTCGACATCACCAATTGTCTCTCATTGATTGATTCTGTTTATTGTTTTGTTTTTGTGAAAACCGTAATAATCGGTTGAATTTCGTTCGATCCCCAACCGTTTCATCGGTGGCGATGCCCGGTTTCGAAAGCGGCGAACTGATCCATGTGATCGATCGGTCCGTAGTCTGTCGTTGTCATCACCATCACCGTTGCCGTCGTCCAGTGTTTATTCATCGTTTGTCCACTACCGCTCCGTCTCCAGAATGACTGCACTGCTCCAGATGGGCATCTTCGGCGACTCAAGTTCGCCATTTGATGAATACATCGATAAAGTCACCGCTGAACATCTGACCACTGAAAATTGGGCTATGATTCTAGACGTTTGCGATAAAGTGAACAGTGATCCACGTGCCCCGAAAAATGCTTTGCTTTCGATTCGTAAACGGTGAGTTTTTGTTTTAGTTTTCTGCTCCTTCTAATCTTCGAAGTACGGTATTTTTTGAAGATTTGTGCGTCTATTTTTACTTTTTATCCACTATTTCACTGTCGTTATCTTATTTGATTCATTGCGTCTGTGCAAAAATGAAAGTGATATGATTTATGAAGTAGTAAGTCACTACTGATAGAAAAAACTGATATTCATAGAAAGCCAAACTTGTGCCCTATTCATTAAGATAAACTTTTCATTGAATATGAAATGTTCACAGTGAATCAGGGAAAATATGAGAGTATGAGGTGGGCTCGATTGCTGGTTTCTCTACTGTATTTTCAGTTACCATTCTTTAATTTTTCAGGTTAAATCATCGTGATCCTCATGTGGTGCTTCTAGCTCTTTCAGTATTGGACTCCTGTTGGAGTAATTGTGGACCAGCATTCCGCAAAGAAGTTTCTTCGGCCAGTTTTATTAACGAATTACAGGCGAAAGCTACGCATGTAAGTTTTCCAACACTTGTTTTTGCATTCTTTCGTTTTGGAGGCCTCGTTTGTTTTACCAAAATTCCGGATTAACTTTTACATAATAGGTTTATTCTTTACAAAAGATTTTCACTGTTACCGGTTTTCGGAGGCTCTCTGGTCGCACGATATTCTTCCACTAAAATAGTGGCCGTTACTATAACAAGTTGTTTGTTCAGCAAGGCTTTACAAATTTAATTGATTTTTTCAAACATTCGGTCGTTGATTCTCATACCCACTGCCGACGACGGCTATCTCTAGTCCCCTGGCAGCAGCGCTTTATTTAATGACCACCCTACTTTATCAGATTCCAAATGCACATCGGTACAGAGTTGCTTCTTGTTGACATCAGGAAGAAACTATACTTTACATGGTTTTTCGTTGTAAAATTGTTTCTGTACTACATGGAAAAATCATCAACGATCTTTCGTTTGGTTTTCATATTTGCGAAGTCTTTTTTAAATCCTGTTCCAAGCTATAAGTCCCTCTGTCATCAACATATGCTATCGTCTTTCCAGAGTACTCGTCTTGTTGCGGAAAAGACAAGAATGATGATCCAAAAATGGGTAGAAAATGAATGCAAATCCGACGCATCTCTTTCACTTGTAGCTACATTGTACAAAAACTTGGTCGCAGATGGCTACTCTTTCACATCAAGCGAGCCAAAGAAATCCAGCCTCAGTCGAGACATACAAGCGGTACTGTTTTTTTATTGTGATAGTTTTAAGTTTGCATTTCTTGTCGTGGTAGCTTCTCCAAGTCAAGCCTCATGCACTGATTGTTTACAGGAGGAGGAGGACGCTTTGGCAAAAGCAATTGCACTATCATTGCAAGAAGCTGACAAAGCACCAAAAACGAACAAGCTCTATCAGTCTTTAAGCAACACTTCGTATTCTGCTGTTACCAATGGAACTAGCAACAAGTGAGCAATTTATTTTTATAAATGACAAACTTTTGATTATTTCATTTTATCCATTCCTTTTTCTTATTCAGATATTCCTAAACAAGCACTTCATTGCCAATGTTTGACCTTTAATTAGGCGTCATCCACGTTTCGATCGTATAAGAGACATTAAAATCGCCGCGCCGTCCATCCGTTATTTCCAGTGTTTCCGGCGCGCTAGAGACGAGCTTTCATTCTTTTTCGTATCGATGAAGAGGAAATGCTCATTCAAGTTGTTAGACTTTAGGCTTTGAAGACTCTTATCTAACAGCCTCATCGCAATATTGGTCACTGTTCGAGTAGTGATCCCAGTAAAGTTGAGAAAGCAGAATAATAATCAATAAGTTCTTGGTCTCCTTGAGTAAATTGAATACTTGGGCTTCACTAAAGAACTTGGCTATGGTACAGCAAAAATTTAGTTCTGTATTCAACTTATTTGTGTACATAGTTGGTTAGTACATAAATAAATAGCTTAATATCATATTTAGTTGCCTTGAACATGTGCGATTACAGGACTAACGAGCGTACTGTTCGCGCACTTTACGACTTTGAGGCGGCAGAAGACAATGAACTTTCATTTGTTAGCGGCGATCTCATCACAGTAACTGACGACAGGTAAGAACGGCACCGATATTTATCGGTATTTTTGTTATCTAGCACTTGGGCACTTGAACAATTTCTTTGTCTAGCAATCCAAACTGGTGGTGTGGACGGATTGGTGTTCAGCAGGGGCTTTTCCCTTCCAGTTTTGTTACGTCGGATCTTTCAGAAGTTAAGGTCAGTTGCTCATCAGAATGAGAATTTGCATGAGAGAGATTAATATATTGGGGGAAACTCCGAGAAGTTCAACATCCCAAGCACGTTTTTCTTACTTTGCAGCCCGAACCCACTTCCACAGCTAAGGCTGCTCCAGCTGCTCCAGCTACTATTGATGAGTCAGTGCTGTTGCGTTGTATACAAATGCTGGAGGACTGCGATCCTACTGGCGAAACTCCCGACCCACCAGAGCTGGCCACCGTAAATTTTCGAAACATTGTTTTTCTGATTAGCAGTTTTGACCTTTTTTCCTTGCTCATGAGCATGTCATGGGTTTTTGTTGGCCTTCACAGCTATTTCATTATCCGTTTCTAGATTGAACAAGCATCTCGTGCACAAGCTCCGTTAATCGATGCTCGATTAGCAGCCATCGATGCTCAAGTTAATGCTCTTTCTCAGGTCAGTTTTTAGTATTTGCGATCCCTGCATAATTCATATTCGAGAATCAGACTATGTGTTCATTGAGCTGTGTTTGAAAGTGTTCCTTTAACTGTATCATACTTTAGAAATTGTTTGCAGGTTGATATGGCGATACGAGATGTTCTAGCTTTATACGATCAGGCTGTACAGAAGGCTCATTATCAGGTTGGTGACTTGAGAGATTCCACTCTTGAGGTCGTTCAAAAATGAAAAATTTTACATTTCCGGCGTCTTCAACTTTACTTGATTAGGTTTGAAGACCCATTTAGGCATATCAACCTCCTCCAGTCATGAACGCCCCAGGAGTAGCGATGCCGCAGCCCAACCCTGGAGTACCAGCAAGCGTGAGTTCATTCCAAACGTGTTCAGTCTTACTGGAAAATTGCGATTAGTCACCTACGGCAAAGATTTCGAAGTCGGCGCCTACGAGCTTACTTTTTTAAAAATCAATTTTTATGATATAAAAAGTTTTATAATGGAGGAAATGTGACATATGACATCGAGAGGTGGTGAGTAAACAGATAAAATTACGTTGTCATTGATGTTTGTCGGTTATTCTTTTAGGCAGCAATGAGCTATCCAGCGAACTCATCGCAAGTCCAGCCCGTTTATCAAGCACCATACGCGAATGGCCCAGCGCAAGCCCCTCCGATCGCTGGCGTTCAGCCACGACCTGATGCTCAACCAGCTTACGCATATGCCACAGTACCGCAAGGAGGTTATCAGCAACAACAAGTTCAACCCGAATGGAATACTGTGCAACATCATGCACAAAATTACTAAGGTGACTCGTAGCCGGCATACGCTTACACTGTTTTGCTTTCAATGGATCTTCCATCTTTCAGTCTCGGCCGGCTTAACTCATAAGGTTTTACAAATAATTCCAATCTGTAAACAATGTTTTTAGTCACTTCACTACAAGGTGATCTGTGTACATACTGACTATGCAATTCTTACTGAGATATAGCAGATTATTCTGTATAAATAATTTATTTTTGATCCAGTTGAGTTGTGCATATGATAGCATTGACTAGATTATTTTTGAGAATCAGTGAGTCTAGAGATCTGGTATGTGGGGGCTCCTTTTAACAGTACAATCAGATACCCGTAGTATGATATGCGGTTTGACAGAACCTGAACAGGGTGGGGAGTAACGGAGGGAGAAAGGGTTAAAGGCACAGTTCACGATAATTTTGGGTAATTCAGATTATGATGAAGAATGGAAGACAAGATCGAAACAGTGCGACTGAGGTGAAGAAACTGCGTGCATCGGTGTTTCCAAAGTGAAAAAAGGCTCCGAAAACCCGTTAAAAAGGGGGCTGGGCGAGAATGAAATCAGTAAAATGAAAAAGAATGGGGCGTCCGGACGAGCTAAACAGTGTGTTTCACTGCGCGCGTGTGGGTCTTGGTGCGAATAACAGACTGGTAAGCGAAAGGTCATTCACTTATAAGCACAAATAAACAAAAAACCCTAGTAACAGCAAAAGTAGCTCACCTTTTTCAGCCTCTAGGTGTAGGAAATTGAATAAGGGATCGCGGCAGCAAAAAGAAAAACAGAGGAAAAAAGAATGGAAGAAAAACATCGCCTCATCACTCGGCGATTAGCTGATTGTGCGTGGGTCCTAGAACGAATAATAGCAATCTGTATTGTCTCGACACTCGTCTAACGTGACANAAGCGAAAGGTCATTCACTTATAAGCACAAATAAACAAAAAACCCTAGTAACAGCAAAAGTAGCTCACCTTTTTCAGCCTCTAGGTGTAGGAAATTGAATAAGGGATCGCGGCAGCAAAAAGAAAAACAGAGGAAAAAAGAATGGAAGAAAAACATCGCCTCATCACTCGGCGATTAGCTGATTGTGCGTGGGTCCTAGAACGAATAATAGCAATCTGTATTGTCTCGACACTCGTCTAACGTGACATCGATCGAGAGGCGGGAAAGCGAACTACGGCAACAACGGGGCTTCCACTATGCCCTAAGCGCCGAGATTGTGGGAGCGAGAGGGTCCCTTCTACCACTCATGGGGGCGCTGAGTATTCTTAAAGGAAGAACTCAGTAACCTTTTTTATCGTGAACCGTGTCTTTAGACGAAAGTATGATGCGGGTTTCAACTGAGTCGTTCAAAAGAAAATAGCTGAAAGTAACTAGGAACTATTGAGTTCAGTTTCTTCATAGGAGGATACGCGTTTGGAAATGAGATCAATTCGAAAGAAGAGAATCTAAAGTTCTAGAACGGAGCTACAACAATTTCTAGTATTGCCAAGTCAATAATTATAATCTATTTTAAGAATAATGCCACAGAAGCGATATTCCATTTGTGGACGTCTGAACATGGCATCATAACGGTAGCGATATATTCACTTCTTGTGACATCAGTGTAGAGTGGTACAGCCACAGATTCATTCTCTTTGTATTGCTTTGCCGAATCCTGTTGTAAAAAACTTTTGGGTAGGCTGAATATTGATTAAACCGTAGCTCGAATCACACATTATCAGTATACTGTAGCACAGTCGACCCACCTCTCCTCTTCGCTTCGAGAGATGTGGTGCGTGTGGTGGATGAATTCTCTCAATTCGGCAATGAGAGAGACCGTTCATCACTGAGAATCTTTGCCAAAGTTGATCTAACCTCTTGCACCGAACCAGTGTTCGATTATAATTAGAAACTCGCCCTCTCCGCCAACGTATTACACCCTGTTCTTTTAGAATCCCTTCTCTCAAGTATGTCAAGCCGTTTTCTCGAAGCTTCTAGCTGTGAGTGCTGGAATTTCTAGCTACATTCGTACTAGAAAATGCAAAAAGCTTAGGTCTCAGGGTTAGTTGTATGCTCCGAACTTTGAGTTCACTGATGTCGTATGTATTGCAAGGGAAAAACTACTGAAATTTCTTGAGACCCAGATGGGAGCATTATCTGCGTGGCCTGGTCACCCCACAGCTTGATCTAAAGTTGGATACCTCCATCAGGGCGATTGGGATTGTCCGCAGTGGTGCAGCACTGCACTTGGTGTACGCTCTAATGGTTCCAGTTTCTTTTTTTTACACTTTCTACTCCCACTAACGTTTATACTCACAATTTTCGTCCATCCAAGAGTTAGTTGTGGAGCATTGGTGACGGGCGGACTGCTGAGTACTGTATCACGTAGTTGCCCATCAAATAGCGCTCCTTGGAGGAGTATGCCCTGAAAATGGATGGGTTCTTTGGGTATCTTACAAATCTCATACAGCCAAAACTCTGCTTGGTATAACCCTAGTGAAAGAATGATCAACAGAGAATTGAGAATTTGATTGGTTGAGATCTCAGGTAACGGTATGAATGAAGGAAACTATGAGGGAATGATGTAAATGATGGCAATCCGATCCGAATGGTTCGCCTCATTCGACAGCTCTTAAATGCGCGCTTTTCAAGTCGTTCTTAGGCAGTCAATGCATTCTATACCTAATACTCAGGTAGTTCTAGGCCTGATGCGCTCAAGATCTCTTGTTGGTTCTAACCTGAACTTGAATGGAAATTTCGCTCGCGAATGATGATGCGTTCCAGGCCGAAGAGAGTTGTAGCACATCCATCGTACAACCACTTGTTCTGCAAAAATACGCTTTCTCTAGCTTCTGCATGACTTTACCGCATTACTCACCTTGCCGTCACTTGTCGGAGGGCATTCAGTAATCTACCTGGCCGGAATAACTTTGAGAAATCGACAGGCTTCTTACGGAAATCGCTCTGTTCAGGATTTGAGACGAGTTCTTGTACGGACTTTGCCTAAATACTTCTGCACTTTGGTTTTCTAAGGAGAAAGCGGAAGGCGTCTATTAGAAGAACGTCGTTGATCCACTGGGCGACTATTCATAAAAACAGCTTTCCATTACTTAAGCAATAACTCAAGTAATTCAGGATTTAACTTTTACCAACCATTCGCGCAGCTCTGCGATGCGCACAGACATTCTACAAAGTAGCCGCTGCTATATACTATCTAATCAACATTAAAAGTCAACTTTTTGGAAAGATTCATTAAGAAAAAAAAANAAAAAAAAACGTGTTTTCACCTTATAGATCAAATTTGCCAGGTACTCAGCTGGATCTCGTGGGCCAGACCAGTGATCCTGCCATGTATCCGGTGTCTGGAACGTTCGATAAGATCGTTAAGTGAAAAATAAAGAACACTAGCTGAGAAAACAACATGTTTCGTGGAGGTCTGATGAAAGCCTGTGGGCAAAGTGATCTAATGCTGAACAGTAATCGGTGGGACGTCATTAGTCCAACAGGCGACTGAAGACTAAAAGGTCTTCCCGGAATTCTTGAAATGGGAATCTCAACCTTACTGTGGGTAGGTGTACTGAGAATGAGGAAAGCAGCCGCTATGATACCTTATCACATGTCGGTCCAAATAAAATTCAGTGGTATCGTAGGTCCCTTGTCCTTGTTAATGTTACATCCACTGCTCAGCTTCGTTCCGTACTTGTAGCTGGACCCCACCAGAATAGGATGTCATCTCGTTGAACATCTTATTATTACTCAAATTTTACTTGAGTCCTTTACAATATTCTTTTCAAGCAAAAGCTATACCTCGTAGCCCTTTTCTTACCGTTTAACTGTTCACATTCTACATTATCTCTTTTCGGATTTTAAATTTATTTGCTATTTTCTCCGCGTATTTATCGTGCACAATGCCTCTATGCAAGTTCCATTGAAATGCTAAGAATTAAGTAATTCGAGTAGTAATGTAAAAGAACCTGGTGCAGCTGAAGTGATTTGATCACTTCAAGGGTGGATTTATCAGGCGTGACAGTTCCTCGAATAGTTTTCATGACCAGGCTAAGACTTGCATGAATCCGTTGAACCTAAAACAAGAATATTAGGAATTAGAACATAGCAAAAGAAAAGAGAGATGTCCCCTTCCCAGTAGAAAGCAGAAAGAACTCTATATTTGTGGGGACACAAACTTTTAATCAAGTCTGATGGGGGACCATCATATGAATAGAAAGTAGTAGTAATTCTTTCTAGTCAGAAGTGGAAAGTAATATACATGTCAGGAGCTCAAACTTTAACCAATGAGGAACTTATCAGGAAAGTTGAATCGAAAATGAAAAAGAAATTGAAAATCTGAATAAAAACAAACCCTTTGATCTTAAAAGAAAAGAAAAACTCACAAGTCTGAGGGCGTGAATAAACTCCAACGACATCATTTCTACCATGGGATCAGAAGACTCCTTTGGGGCCACGATCTGCAAAAATCGATTTGAGTTAGATGTTTATTCACGTAAACAATTCAAGTTATTTGTTTCTAGTGCATGCCCTTTTCTTCTTCTATGATTACCTTTCCCGGAGCCTTAGAATTTTTTTATAGGTGTTATAAGCACCCCAGGCACGGAATGCTGGACCCTACGTCAAAATCATGGAAGGAAGTTTGACTATACTGAAATGAGAATGCTCGAATGGGCACGCAGCTGGATTTGACTGGACCACGTCAAGAACCTCAGGGCGGCCATGCAAGTAGCATCCGTCCAACTGAAGGTGCGAGAGCAGCGTCTGCGATGGTATGGTTACGAGCTGCGAAGGTCGCAGGATCGTACGATGAAAAAGGGTCATGGAGTTCGAGGCTGTAAGAAAGCGTCCATGAGAATCCCCGCAGAAGAGATGGAGGGACGTGATCAAGGAGGTTCTCTTCAAGAAAAGGTGATGTCAGTAGATGCGGTAGATAAAAAGGAATGGCGACGCCTCACGAGAACTTGGATACTACCCGGTTAGTGATCGAGTACCACGACCGTATGGAATCTCAAAGACTACCTGTCTGTTATGTAGATCACCTCCTTGGCAAAGCTTTTTCCATAGTTGCAAAATCGGATTGCAAGCATCGGCCCATCGACTGCGTTCATTACCGCCCAGTGTGGTTCCTCAAAAGATAATTTCTGATTTAAAGCTTCATCGTCCGTTCAGCAACAAAGAGCAATCAGATAGTGTGTTTATACTGGAAAACGGGGAGGAGCCTCGAAGACGAATTAGGACTGAACCGACTTCGACATATGACCCTTCCCTGTAGAACCTTGTCACATGCTCAACTCTGTAAACGAGTTAAACGGCCTTTGAGGCGTATCTTCAACTCTCTCCATCCCGTCTTCCCAATTCAAATGCAAGCACATACTCGTACTACGCACTACCTTACCATTAGATGCCACCGTGCCCCTGGAGTCGTTGCTCTGCTATCAACTTTATACTAGTTCGCGATGAATAAAGTAAGGTAATGAGGCTTTCATGCAATCCTCCTCCCACTCTCGAACCCAAATTTCTATGCTTCCGTGCTCTTCTATCAAACTCACTTTGCTGAATAGCTTATTCGATAGCTTCACTACTACGGCTAATGGGTAGATCCATTGTCAGCTCACTAGGAGCTTTCTCTCTTCGACCCCTTGTTGTCAGCTGCTCCGCGGTTTCTCGCTCCTATCAAGAATTTACGACTCGATCAATACTGGCAAGAAATTACTGTAGTTTTTCAGCACTGAATCATTCCAGCCACAGTAATTGGCCGTGTAGTTCAAAATGAACTAGAGCTTTCAGAGTAGAGCGATGAGCGTTGAGCGTCGAGCGCGGGGCGCCGAGACCGCGTTAGCGTCGCTCAACGCCCAGTGTTTACTCTAAAAACTGCCGGGCCTCGATTTTATGTTAACAATATCAGTACCTGCTATTCTCATTCTAGCGATCGTATCTTCGGCTTCTGTCAACTGCCATGAGAAACGGATGTTCATCGGAAGACCAAAAAGGTTTGGTTGGTCTTCAGAAGGGATCGATGATGTGATGTACTGTTGAAAGTCCTAGAACTCACAGATGTAGTGACGATAGCATATAGAGGAGAACATGACCCAACCAGTTTTTTTTGCCCCGTAATCCTCCTATGTTCACCCTATAATAAACGTTGAAGTGGTCCGTTACCTTGATATTGTCTGTAGCCAACAGTTCCACACCTTTTGCTAGCGTTTGACCAGATCGTCCGGTGACTTTTTCGGAATTGAATAGCGTAAGAAGATAGGACTCAAGAACTTGGCTGTCAAAATCGTTTTCTATACGTCCACCATAGACGACATACATCAACAGACCTCGGATGAACTCCCAATCGGCTCCTGAATACGATCTGTTCAAGTATTGTTAAGGAAGTGGATCCCAGAAGTTGGGAGTGGGTAAAAGCCACATGCACTCCTTGAATTGAGGGCTAGAGCCAATAATCAATGAATGGGAGCACTCACTTGACTCCTTTATCAGGCTTTCCACGAGAACACGTGCAACTCGTACATCTGCACTGCTGAATTCGTAGAATTTTGTCCAAGCCTGAACAATAGACACATCAAAGCAACCATATTCATTCTTCAACAGTTCCCTAACCATTTGACAACCACGGCCGGTCCCATGACTAATTGTTGGCAATGTGCCAGAAACATCTCCTTTCTCTGTTCAAAGTTGCCATACAGGACTGAGTGGTCACGGCCAGGGCGGTTTGCTCGCTCCGCGCCATACTTGGCCAAGAATGGATTTGGAAGGGGAGGGGTGGGGGGGGGGGGGGGGGGGGGGAGCGGACGTGGTGGTGGGAGAGTGCCGTATTACGATTACGGTATTAGGGAAGAGAGGTTATATCGAATAACGATAAATTAAGTAACTATCTACCTTGGATGCCCCTCCGGCATTTGCTGTCCTTTCAGAAGTCGAAGAGGTAAGGGGAAACTGAAAGGGAGGCAGGGTGGTGGCATTTAAGAGGTAGAAGGGGATTCGTATGGTTGTAATGTCGACGTCGGGGTTTCACGATGTGAATACTCTACCGTGACGTGAAGTGGTAGGTAATTACAAAGTAAATCAGAAAACCGTCACCTGTGGGATGAAAGTCCGTCGCTCTTGAAGCAGTGCATGCAACCAAGCTAAGACAAATATAGCCTGACTGGTAAGGATTGAACGCCTCACGTCATCAATTTGAGAATACGTTCGCAGTAGATTGTTCCGGATCCCTAAAAATGTTTCGATGGATCATGGTAATGGCATGTGCTCACCCATACTTTCCGGCTTACCTGGAGGTGGTTCAAAGGTAACTTTCAAGCTATGCTGCAACATTATCGCAGGGAACTTGTTCTCCTCCTCAGTCGTCATCCACAGACGGAATTTTTCATGAGGAGTGACGGTGGCCAGTTCCTGGAAATTAATAATGGACTTTTGGAGCTCTTTACCCCAGATTCATGATCTCCAACCTTTTGAATAACCGGGATGATACTGAGCATCAGATGAACGTTCTGCAAGCAGAGCCATTGGCCTTCGGTTGAAGCCCTTCTAATAGCGTCGATTGTGGCCTGTTCCTGTCCCTGACCCATTGAGATCGACGTATAGTTGTGTAAGCCGATCGTGTTTGCCGCCAACTTCTCCAGCTCCTAAAAAGTTGAAAAAAGCTTAACGGATGAGCGTAGCAGGCCTACCTTCTTACCTGACTGGGATCAGCACCACCAGCCAAGATCAGCAACACAGGTTCTTGATTAGAACTTTCGTTCAGCACATCGGATAGATTAAATGGTGGCGGGTTGACGGAAGGAACTGCTGGAAAATTTTAAGATGATCCTGTTCAGGATCAAGAACCGAATGCATAAACTTTAGGATCAGACATGGCCTAGAGTGAAAGTACATTAATTGCTAGGACGACCCCGCCCTCCGCTCTGCTCCAAAATTGTGCCCAATTTAGTTTGGTTCAGAAATTTGATCCCCTTCCAGTGACACAAATACAATCCCTGTAGAGAATTCTTACGTATAGTCTGGCCTTGCCAGCAATCCCTAAAACGTTCAAAGGGCAGCACCGGGTCATCCCGAAAAGGGCACGTAACTTCTCAATCTTGAGTGGCTACTTCCGCAGCTTCTTGGTTCTAGGGGACGTAAGGGATTAGATCTCGATTCTATCGGCTCCGATATACCAGCTTAGAGTGTCATACAACTCTTCTGGGCTCAAAAACAAACGTTCAAGCATTTATCTGGCACTTACCTAATGTTTTCAAGACAAAGTTTTGCATCGCTGAATATAATCGATCTGGTCGCACAGCTTGGATCAGTAGAACCTTGAAAAAATAGACTTTCTTGTTTTTTTTGGTTACCGAGCAGTTGTGAAGTCATTCTTAATCGCGATATCGTTTTAACACCGACTTACTAATTATAAAACAATGTAAATCGATGCTCCAAGCAGACGGAATCGTCAACGCCCAACTGGGATACTGAAAGAACGCTAGCATGACACCAACCTTTTGGAATGGAGTGATTTTCTGTTCAACAAAAGCCGGCACAGCGTTCTCGCAATCAACCGCCCGACTGAATTCGTTCCATGTGCCTTGGTCGGTTAATTGTAGGTTGTTGAACAACGTGGGCAAATTACTCTGCAACAATGAGACTTTGGTTTTCTGAGGGTTTGTCTGATGCTTACTCAAAGTAAACATGTAAGTGTTAGAAGCAATAACTAAGAAAGCACATGTCAATATGGATTACTTGAATCTTTGCCACAGCCGAGCGTCGGCTGTTATCAATCCATGCAACCTCCTTCACAGTTGATTGTGGTTCATCGACAATTAGGCCAGTGAAAAGTTCCCATTCCTAAAACGAGAGTTCAAATTATAGGTTTGAAAAGATGGTTCCGGTGAGGACTCCGAGAAAACCAGCTGGTTTGAGGTGCCCTCTCCGATACCAAACCAAGGCCCGTCA